GTTTTATCAAAATACTTTGTGAGGGAAGGGATCTAAAAGTATCGCGCTCTCCTCTCCCCTCCCTCCCTCCGGCGCTTAAACTTCCTCTCCATTATCTTGTACCTGGCCCGTACCAAGCTGAGCTTGCCTGATCGGACGATGCACTGTTATAATCATACAAGCAGTGAAAAATAACTAATTAGAATGTGAAGGTGTAGTCTGAAGGTGTAGTCTGAAGGTGTAGAATGTGTTTTTTGATAAAAGGGACGACTTGGACCCAGGAAATTGTCTGGCAAATAATCAACGATGGCAAGATCGATTATCGCCCATTACATGTGAGAATGCCATGGGTAGATGGAATGCCAGATATAAAACTCGAGAATCCTTATACAGTGACGTCTGCTGAGATGATAGAAAAAATGTTCGAGTGCTTCCCATCCCCTCGCGTGTTCAAATCACATCTACCATACGACCTGGTCCCCAAGGGATATGGCCAGGCTACAAAGCCACATGCACGTTATATTTACGTCATGCGTAACCCAAAGGATGTAGCTGTATCTCTTTATGAGTTTATGGTCAAAGTGTCAGGCCGAGAAGCTCTCACCTGGAATGAGTTATTTGAGCTATTTTACCAAGGGCAAGGTAATTGGTTCGTGTCTCTTTTTTGAGTATGTCTATATTTAGCTAACTGAGTTGTTTACAGCCGTTCGACTCTCCCAATTGCGCTGAACCAGTAACAAAACAGTAGTTTGCAACACGCTTTTCGTATAAAGGAGCGAAAATACGAGCGCACATGGCGCGCAAAGAACGGCGGGGCCAAACCGATAACTTTATCTACCACTTCTCGTTTGTCCCCATTCTCACTCATCTCCACACTTTCGTTCCCAGAGAACCTCTCTCCCTTCAGAAGAAAAATCCTGGTAACAAGGATTGACAGAACCCTGAGGACTGATACCACGAAAAACGAACCCACAAAAATGTTACCCATGGAGCTCAAGGATTTGGGCAAAAAGAAAAGGAATATTATATTTTGTATTAATGTTTGGTTGATCTTGTTTGCAGTTTATTGTGGCTCGTGGTTTGATCATGTCCTCGGTTGGTGGAAGCACAGGGATGATCCTGATATACTGATTCTAAAGTACGAGGATATGAGGAAGGTGAGAGAAAAAAACACTTCACTTTAAGTTAAGGTTAGAGAATAGAGGCCCAATGGGGGAGGAGAGGAGGGGGAGGGGGCTAGTACATCAGGGTTAAACTCGATAAAAGTGTAAGAAATCTCTTTCGTCTTTTAAATTCCAGTTTCAATTTTCCTCTCCCTCTCCCCCTTTGTATTATTTTTGTATCAGTACGCGTGGCGCGCGTGATTTTGCAAATTTGCCAATCTCGTCGGGGAACTTTGGTCTTGACATTGAAGACTGACGTGGACATTTCGCGTGTATTTTTTTTTTTTGTAGTTGTTTTTTTTTTATATAGTTAGTTGGTTGTTGCTTTTGAGTTTTCGTTCACGCTTATTTGTAATCCCTCAGTTTGGAATTTTTTAGGAAGTTTTTGGAGTTTCTACTCAAGCCGAATATTGTAATTTTTTTAATTACATATTTTCTACGGAGTTTGTATTCTAGTTTCTATTTTCGTCATTGGATTTTATTTCAGTAAGGCCCATTAAAACAGGAACTGGAAGTTGATGAAAATACCTGAAAACCGACTCACAACCCGGTAGCGTATCAATAGCTAAATGTGGTATCAATGTTCAATTTACTACAAGAAAGTACGTTGTTTCTGCCATCACTGGAATAATGATCATTTTGTTAGTAATTGCACTCTTTATGGTGCTCTCAGCTTTACTTCAACATGCTTCATAGTCTAGTTTTTTTACTTAGTTCTTATTAATATAACCGAGTGGGAGGTCTGTACGGGAGAATCTTGACCGAGGTCGCCAGTACAGACCGCACGCAGTGAGGTCTGTATCAGCGACCGAGCTCAAGATACTCCCATACAGACCGACCTAGCTCGGTTAATAAGATGTTTGGTATATGGCTGTGTCTAATATGCCAATTTTTTATATTCTTTTTACCTTTTTTTTCTAGACCGGGCTAGACGCCGGTCCAGATGGGAAAATCTAGACCGCTTTCAATATTGATTTCAGCCAATCAAATTCGTGAATTCGGTAGTTTCCAGTCCTTGTGAGAAACAGCCATATAATAAATAGTGATATCATCACCCACTAACATTATAGGACTCCACTCATTCTTCGCTTGGACTTCTCTTTATCTAGGACTTGCCAGGTGCTATTCAAAATATTGCAACTTTCATTGGGAAGGAGCTGCCCCGCGAGACCTTGGAGCTTGTTGTGAGCCAAACATCATTCAACGCCATGAAGAAAGAAGGAAATTCTAATTTTTCCTTTCACAAAGGGTTCAAAGGTCTTTGCGTTCGTAAAGGCCAAGTGGGTAACTGGAGGGAATACTTCACTGAAGACCAAAACAAGCGATTTGATTCTTTGTTCAAAGAGAAATTTGCCGGATCAGTACTAGAATTAGAGTTTTGAAAGAGTACTAAACGGTCAACCTCGCTCTCTGCTTGAGAGGGGTACAGTTTCGCAGTTCAAATATGTAATCGTTCATCTATTCACTTGTTCCTTAGGTTATTAACAAGTACCCAAAAGATTTCATTTCCGTTCATACTGGTTTTGCTTTTTCCCACAGTAGATACACTTTCATTGCTTGAAGCTAGCCTTACAATTGTTGTTTCTTTGACCAGTTTCCCGGGTATTTTACCCAATGACTTAAACCTTCTTTCGCTTGAACAAGAAAACGAGACTGTAACACGATCTATTTATCAGGAAATTCTGATAGGAAACTCGACATAACGGGAGGTGACATTAATCTCCTGTGAAGACAACATTACTTGCGAACGTTTATTGATCTAAATTCCCATTTATTTGAGCAAATCATCAGGATTTGTAAACATGATGGATTTTCCA